TTTGTTTTAAATAGACTTCCTATAAGTGATTTCTTAGTTCCTAACAATTAACAAACCAGACTCCTGCTTTCATTCTACCGCCCATGTTTCTTGACTGCGACGGAGCATTTTTTAACGTTCCGCCGGCCCTCTCCATCCCTCCCGTCTCCGTTTCCGTGCTCTTCTCTGTCTCTGTTTCCATCTTTTATCTTATCTGGAGTCAGAAATGTGTTTATTTATCGAATCCACATTTAGTCAACCCTTATCGGTCTTTCCGTTCCCCTCTTCTCTGCTAAAGAAATTTAGTACAGCTAGATAGAGAGCGAGCAGAACAGGAAGGATTCTCTACAATACAGGAATTGGGGCTACCACTTCCGCCGAAGCGAATATGGCGGCCCTAAACTGCATCAGTATCTCAGATCCTGACATCAAGAAATCCGCCTCCCTCCTTAAGCAAGTCAGTTTTCCCTCGGATCCTTGTGCTGTCTTCCTTTTCTGAAATGATGTTTTTGGCTTGCTCGGAGTCGCTTGAACCAAAGATTTCTCATATTTTACTGATTTTCTCGATAACTGCATTTTTAGTTCAGCTTTTGTTTGTACCTGTTCGCGGCAGCTTTTAAAATTCAAAGCCAAAGCTTTTGAGTTATTTCATTTGTCAGTTTTGTTGGATTTGGTATGGTCTCTTGCTTGCTTTACATGTTTAAGGTCGATGTTTTTGTATTTGTAGTTTGGAATTATTCTTCATGATGCAATGTAATACTAATGTAGTGCTTTTGATTTCTTGTTTTGTGAAATTAATTACATTATAATGTTATTTACTTAATAGTAACTTTATGTCTTGAATCCAAAATGTCTAGAAAACGCACTCAAGATATAGAACGTCACACTGAAAAGTATAGTAGAGAACAATAGAGAATGTGTAACATTTATTAATGATATTGATCCTCTATTTATAGGAAAGGATTCCTATCTTACAAAATTATATATTTGCTCCCTCATTATTAGCTATTTAAGGCAGTTGTTCAGTATTTATAAGAATATTTAAATGTAATACAGCAGTGAGAAGATCTTCGATTATTTGTCATTTGTTTACTTCGCCGATCGTCGTTTTGAGGGTTAAAATCTTTCAATAGGCCCTTACGGTCGTTCGTCTCATATTTTCTTCGTGAGCATCTGATTTGTCAGTCGTTAATAGCTACGATCAACCGGTTACGCAATTGGTCGCTCCTTTTATTTTCTTAATTGATGTTGAGATAAGCATAATCTAAATTCTAATTGATTTTATTTGTATTAAATTCATCGCATAGTCAATTCAACAATTTTGAGACCCATCCTGACTAAATTTAGTTATGAAATCTGTCCCAAATTTTTTTCATCCTATTATGGGGCTGTTTGAAAACAATTAAGATTTAATTCAATAAGGTTTTAGTAAATATTATGAGTCTAGAAAGCTTGTTCTTAAAAGCTATTTTGTGAATCTCACCAACAAATCTCATTAAAATTTAATGAATTTTTATAGTTTATATATCTGGATTTCTAATTTAAACTAATATAAGCTCTAAAATATCTACTTATAATGAGTGTAAATTTATTAAATCCTCCCTGCTCTAAGATTTAACAAATCCCACTAAATCCTAAAACAACACAAAAACGATATTTAGCTAACTCTAGGACGATACCTAAAAAATTATATTTGGGACCTAAGACTTATACTTATAAATTCATTCTCTTGCTATTTGGATGTAAATGTGGCATTAAATTTTTTTTGCAATTGGTTCTATTATTTACAATTAAATTTTTTTTGCCGTTATGGGCAGCATCATGAAGGGAAGTGTGGACAACAGATTAAAGTAGGTTATTATTAGTTCTTATTTCAGTTAAAATATCGATGGCCTTGTAATTAAAGGTATAGTTTATTTTTTTAGGATTACGATTGAGCGGGAAGTGTGGACAACAGATTAAAGTAGGTTATTATAAGTTCTTATTTCAGTTAAAGTATCGATGGCCTTGTAATTAGAGGTATAGTTTATTTTTTTAGGATTACGATTGAGCTACATGATATGCGATTTATTTTTCATCATTAAAAAAGAAAAAGATGCTTGCATTATAATTCTTTTGCGAAGGCTGAAAAGGTTGGGGAAAGAAATAGTTGAAAAAAAATCTAAAATTAAACATGATATTATTGTCATATATATTTCTCACTTTTATATTTCATTGAGTGGTTGTATTTTAGTGTTGCCTAACAACACCTTAATTTTTTTAAATGTGTGTTTCAGGCATGCCTTGATTCTGGATTTTTCTATGTAATTGATCATGGAATTAGCGAAGAATTCATGAATGTGGTTTTCTTTCAGAGTCGAAGATTTTTTAATCTACCATTACACAAAAAAATGGAGTTGCTACGCAATGAAAATCATCGAGGTTATGTACCCACACTATTTGAGACTTTGGATCCCGAAAATCAAGTGCAAGGTTTGTTTCCTAATCTAAGAGCTTCTGCAAAGCTACTTATAAATTTGTCTTTAGGTTGCTTCATATTGAATGCATTTTTAGGAAATAATACTCATTGAAACATAAATTTACTCGCTAAATGAATATATTTTGCTTCGTTGTGTCCAGTGCACACACAAGTCAACACATATTTAACACCATTTTGTTATAATACCCCATCATCTACTCATGCATTGTGCTTCTCTTATATATAACATGTGCGTGTACGATGCATTGTTCCTTTCCTGTTTTTGGATTAGCTGACTTTCTAAATAGCATGATAATTGATAAACCTGCTAAGAGAACTATGCAATGTTTTTTTGGAATTTTGAGGTGGTTGGTTTTTGAAAGAGCACTCCATATTGCCTTCTTCTAGCATGTATGATAAATAAGTGGCACTTATAACTGAATTTTAGTAGATATGCTTGCTTTTTTTTTTATAATGTGATATTTTTTCTCAATCCCTTCGGGAAAGATTCAACTTTCAACTAAAGTTAAATCTATCAATGGGGAATGACAACCTACCTTTATTTTTTAACTATTTTGCTTGTTTTTTTTTTTTGTACCACAGACAAATAGCAACTCCTGCATTTTAATTTTTAATGGTTACTTATCAGAACTCAACTATATTTCACAAGAATTATATTTTTCTTTTGAGACTTACATGACAGTTTACAAATTGTTTATGAGAGTAAACTTGATAATAAATTATTTGCTCTTTTTATGTTATTAATAAATCACATTTTATGATTGGAGGAATGTAGTCATAATCTATATTGAATGCCATTAGTTTTTTCTTTGTAATGATAATTTTATTTTTGCAGCTTTAAAAATGTGAATAGATAACATTGTTTTCTTTTCCACCCTAAAGTTTGAAAAATGGGTATTATTGTAGTGTTTGATTTGAAGATCTAAGCAGATTGCTTTGAAGATTCTTACTGACAAAAATAATTGACACCCGGTGAAAGAAACACTTTTTTTTTCAATGCAAAATACTAGTGTTGTCTAGAAAATGATTAGTCCACTTAGCTTTCTTTATTGACAGAAATTTACTCTAAATATTTTATTAATTTTATGTAGGGTATAAGGCTAGTTAAAATTAAATGGGTATGATACCACTTATAAATTAGGGGACACAGGACTAGTCACATATCAAAATCCACCATGTAGCTGATGAATATTTAATTTAAAGAATGTCATAAGCCAAACATGAACCTGTGGCCTTTACACAAGAACAAGAGAAGCATACTGCTTGAGCTGGCATTCATCCAATTAGCCTAATATGCAAGGTCTAGCACTTTAGAAATGTTCTCTTTTTTGAAGCGTTTTTATTGAATGTAATTTCATTTTACCTAACAAAATGTAAATCATTTTGTGGAGGCTATATCATGAACATGATAAGTTATATCTTGCCAAATATCCCATTTGCATACATTTCATTGCAGGCTTCAAAAATTTCAATGCTCTGGAATCTCACAATTTTGATGTGTTGAGAGAGCTTTAAGTGTCAATTTTTCAGAAAACATATGATATTTTTTATAGGAAAATACCCATAAATTTCACTCACATTTTATGAGGACTTTAAGACCTAGGGTAAGATATTTTTCACAGGCACAAGTCCCTCTGACTAATCACCACCTCTCGATAATAGGAGAGCTCCGAAAATTTCAACGCTCCGGGGACTCTCACATTTTTTATTGTGTTTAGAGAGCTTTAAGTGTCAAATTTTCTGAAGACATTATATTTTAGATGGGACACTACCCAGAGATTTCATCTTCATTTTATTAGGACTTTAAGATTTGGGGTTCAAGATTTCTGATAAGCACAAACCCCTATGATTAATTACCCCTATCGATAACTGGAGAGCAATTTTGATTTAGCCTGGGCATTAATATTTGAATATTTAGCATATAATGACAGCAAACATATGATTTTAAGTTGTATAATTTATCACTTGGAGTTTAAAGTGGATAGTGAGAGAAATGATTAGAAAGCTGATCAAAATCTCAAGGTTTTGTTGTCCCAGGCTGTCGTGGTTTATGATCTACTTTGTTAGAGAATGTAGTCGACTCATCTTGAGTGAAAAATTTTAGTCAACAACCATATGTTGCGTCATCCAAGGGACTCATATAGAGTTTGGTTGAATGTTTATTTAAGAGAATAAATTTAAGTCGATTTTTGCTAACAAAAGATTTTGTGTCAATTAGATATACTTTTATGATTGACAACTTGACGGGCAGAAAGCCGTTAGGGAACATACAAGCTATTGTCGTGATTGTTATATAATGGTGAAATTTTGTAGCAACCACTTAATCAGACGGCTCGTCATAATTGCTACTTTGTAATGTCATTTGGTGGCAACCACGCCGATAAAAAACTCGAGCCACGTTTTTACCGGCATGAGATTATTTTGAGTTTTAATATAGTGATATATATGATGTGACATTCATTCTTTGTAAGTTAAAGTCAATAAAAAATTTGCCACCCTTACAAATTATTACAGATGATTGATAGAATTTGCTTTAAATTTTAGCGATTGATTATATTTTGGATGTTTTGATTTATTTGTATAACACTGACATTGCCAATCCCAAGCACGGACGTGAAAAGTGGAGGGTTGCGTTAAGTAGTCAACAGCCAGCGTAAAATTTGTCGAAAAAAATCATGACATGAATCCTTTTGATCATTGTGTAAGTGTTAGGGCGTCCCCTGGAAGTGACGTGTTGTATAGCCTAAATACAGTGAAAAGTGTGCAAGGGCCGCTACACCAACCGGGGCCGCTACACCAACCCCCGGGTGTAGTGTTAAATAAGCAAGGATTCCCACATTACGGACGAATGCAGGTACAGAAGTTAGTCCATGAAACTAAAGAAATTAATATTGGGATAGGATCTTGGAATATAAGTACTCTTAATGGTAAATTAATGAAATTAGTTGATATTATGATTCATAGGAAGATCATTATCTTATGTATTCAAGAAACTAAATGGGTTGGAGGAGAAAAGGCCAAAGAGATTGACACTTTTAGATTTTAAACTTTGGTATTCTGGTAAAAGTCGCACTAGAGATGGTATACGTGTAATTATAGATAAGAGTTTGAAAGATAATGTTGTAAAAATTAATAGAGTTGGAGATAAAATTATAGCCCTTAAGATTATCATTGACACTAAGTTTTTTAATATTATTAGTGCTTATGCTCCTCAAGTAGGTTTAAATACAGGGTCTAAAGATAAATTTTGGAATGACTTAGAAGATTTAATACAAAT